TCGCTGTCAGAATGATATCTGCCCCTTTATTGCAGGACCAGGAAAACCTTTTACAATTTAACAATTTTCTCTATAATTAGGCTTATTTTGAGTTGTTTTGAAGAATAAGGAATGACTAATTTGGCATGTGTGGGGAAATTAAAAGCTAGAAAAAGCACTTCTTTTCTAAGGTTTAGATTAATTGCATTAAAAATTCAGTTTTGTTTTACATATTTAGGGTAAAACTAAAAGCATTCAGAAACATAATCTGACACTGCAGCAGGACATTCTAGCTCACCATCCATAGCATATCTGTGCCGTCGATGCAATGATTGTACAAAAAAATATAAATATATTTTAAAGACTTAAATGAGGGTAAAGATTTAAATGAAAATGTTTCCCAATACACCAAAAAAAAAAAAAAAATCCACTGGTCTTGGTTTCCAAGTTTGAAGATGTTTTGCTTCCCATCCAGGAAGCTTTTTCAATTCATAATGTGAAGAACAGCGTTGAGGTTTTATTCAGTAAACTCAACACTATTTCTGACATTTTGAATTGAAAAAGCTTACTTGATGGGAAGCGGAACGTCCTCAAACTTTCTTTCTTTTTTTGGAATGACTATGACCTGGATGACTGAGAACCTTAACCAGCATGTCTCCAATTAAAAAGAAGTTTTTGCCTCTTTCATCTATTATATTGATTCCTTCAATAAATGTATTCTTAAGTTTAGGAACTGGAATATTTTTTGGGATATAATTTATAATTTCTCCATATTCCTGGGATGAGAATTAGGAATTATATTTATTATTTAAATTATCCATTGACAATAACTCTCCATCACTTCTTACTGCTGTTCTGGGTGCTAATAACGTTCTCGAGGAGCTTCAACAGCAGTACCGTATTAGATTTATAGTTCTACTGCAGAGATATTAGAATCCGGTCCTGAGGCTGATGTGTTTCTGTCATCAATTTATGATTTATAACTTCCAGCTCTTACCTTGTTTACCAATTCTGCCGGGCAGGTGTTGACTGATCATGGTAAAAACATTCTCATTTTATCTGTAAGACTCCATAGAAAAGTAATATCCAGTTGTATTTCCCATTAAATTAACTTGTGTCATAATAATCCACCAAAAGTCATTTTTAGCCATGAAAAGTAAGAATCAAGGGATGAAAACACATAGACTTTCTCCATGATGATGTGTTAGCCCTTATAAAAGGACAAAATGTAAGAAAAGAAACAGCAGGGACGAAACCAGTGCGCTTTCACTTACTCTTGTATTGAATATGCAGAAGAGCAGAACACAGAAATCTCATTTCTTACAATACTCATCCTTAATGATGAAAAACAAGAGTACACTGTTTATACTATATAAAAGTCACAAGCAATAATAAAATTTAAACAAATCCAACTGCCGTTAGCAACAGAGCTAAG